CGACTCGAACGTGATTTAGTCTATAATGATAGTAAAGTTGTGCAGTATCCACCGCACTCTACCCCTTTCCTCTCCCTCTTGGGCTCAGTGTCATCACGAAGACAAAGTGACCGGAGGCAGAAGACACAGATGTCTGGCGTGCTGAGAACCCGCACCCAAGTGTGGCAACCAACCCCCCCTCCTCCCCCACGCGTGGCATTTGTTGTGGATGCGCATTCCAATAACGCCTGCCGTGGCCTGATCTAGTCCCCGTGATGATCCAACGCACCTATTGCGTGGCCTATTAAAGAGGACATCCAACTGTTGAATAATCTGTTCATGTAAAAGGAAATAGGCAACAAAGGGCACTTCACGTGGCTGCTTCCCGCTAAGTGCTCTGATAGCTAAATTGGCAAAAAACTGCAACAATTTCAACATAAAATTGTTTTGCATCGGGACAACTGGACAAAACGCGGTAGTGGACGAAAAATTTCATTCTTTGCAAAGGGACCGATTTGATGCATATAGCGACAATAACGAATACCGGTGGGAAGATGTAACGGAATGATGGTGTTTGAATCATCAAATAACAAACCAACTAGAGGCTTTACCAAAATGGAATTTGGCGGCTGACGCAGTAACCTTCATGACTGAATCCTCCCAAAAGACCCTTGTTAGAAAGTGCTCAGAATGCAGAGATTTCACAGCCGCTCGACCAAGTAATAATATAGGTTAGCAAAATTATCCACTACCTAATGGGTGTGAGCAGATCCCAGGGGTATAGAGACTACAGGTCGTGGGTATCACTCTCCTGTAACAGACGAAATCACACTCTTCTCTGTAACACAGCGACCCACACGGCTCTTCAGGTAATAGGTTGTGGGTATCACTTTCCTGTAACAGACGAAACACTCAGTACTTTCTTGGGAATCAGTTAATAACCAGATAGCCTACGTGCGACTGAAGGGTTACACCGCGAATATCTCTGGCTTTTCTATGTACGCATCAACTTCGGCTGCTGATCAGCATGAGCAAGAGAGGTTTTCTTCACAGATGCATGGATTATTTGAAAGACCATCTCGCCGTGATCCGCTGATTGTTGCTGAGGGCTGGACTTGGCGACTCTACATAGTCACCTCATTGGTCGCTTTGGGTTTGATCCTCAAGCTGACAATACCGAGAGGTCGTTTGACTTTGCTGATCGGAACCGACTGTTCGTCACTGACACGTGCTTCCGGCAGGGCTAAAAGCATATACTGACCTGGTATTCAAACAACGATCATATAGCCATCATATTACGAAACTCAGACAACCGAGCACTGCCGAGGCCCCGGACAGAAAAATATAGTTTTGTTTTACAATCCGAACCCATGTAGAAGGCATTAGGCAGTGGGTATCATTGATATTATCAGTCTGTAGGGAAGTTAAGAGAAATTTTTGGATACAACCCGTTACGCCGCAGTGATTGAGTAGACGGAAAAACATTACATTTGCCTGGCTCCAGCCAGGTCCCGTAATGATATTTCCTTCGGTCAACTCCGGAAAATGATGGAAAATTAGCTAGGGATGACCACAAGAAATACGAGGTCGAAATAGCTACTTCCACGGAGCAGGCTTCGAACATTTGACGGGCGAAAACTATGCCGAATTATCTACCGAGACGGGTGAATGTG